ATGGGTAAGCATAGATGGAAATGTTTCTGTAAGCCTTCTTTCTCACCTTTGAATTCTACCTACACCCTCCCACCCATCTCTCTTTGCCATTAAAACAAACAAAAAAAGCCTCAGCATGGTTTCAGTGGGGCGTCCTTAGCCCGAGCAATGCTTTGTATGCCTCACAGATTCATATCAAAATCAGATGTATTGAAACACCGGGCATAAACCCACTCCAGTCTGTAAAAAGCATTGTGTTTCCATCATATCACTTAAGCTTCATTACACCCCAACACCTGAACACCTGCAAAGAGCCCCTTTTGTAGTCAAACAAAAAGAGCCTTAAAGGATTAGTTCACCCAAAAATGAACATTTTGTCATTTACTTGCACCTCATGTTGTTCCAAACTTCTATGACTGACTTTCTTCTGTGGAACATAAAAGGAGAGATTTTGAATGTGTCCTTGTCATTCTTTTCCATATGATTACAATGACTGGTAACTAAAGTTTTCAAGCTTCTAAAAGGCAGAATAAATTGGTCCAAATTACTAATATATTCCTTGTCAGTGAAATCTGGATTAGTTGGATTTGTGAGTGAATCATTCAGAGTGGTTCTGTGAACTAAATCAGCCAATTTATAGAAAATATATGACTTAAAGTATGATTCATTCTATTCCTATAAAATCTAATGAACATGCCAAGTACAGCTAGAGTGGATTGCCAAGATTTTCAGTGAATAAAGGGATAGTTCACCCAAAATGAAAACCAGATGTTGGTACTACTATTGGTAAACAGTTTTAGAGACATTAAGAACATTTCTTAAATATCGTATTTAAGTTCCACCGGAGTCATAAAGGTTTGCAACATTAAGGTGAATAAATGATGACAATTTGTATCTTAGAATTTTGGTTTATCCTGTACACAAAGCTATTTTATGACTTCAGAAGACTCCACTTCAAAAGAACCACTTTCATGATGCTTTTTTGTCATTTTGAAGCTACTCAGTGTGAATACTCATTCACTTTCATTACATTGAAAAATAGCAGCAAGGGTATTCTTTAAACCTTACCTTTTAAAAGTCACACAGGTTTGGAATGACAAGAGAGTGAAAAATAATGACAGAATCTCCATTTTTGAGTGCACTATCCCTTTAAATTACCCACAAAATTAATCAACTGCACATGTAGAAGACCCAGGTTGCTTCACCACATCTTTCTGATGTAATTCTTTGAGGTTTTTAAAAGCTAGGTTTTCTGCAAGCTCAACCCGATCATTACATAGACTCTTGACCAGAAGTGTTTATACACTACTGGGTTTGAGGCTGCAGAATATGGTTGATCTGTGAGAGAGTGCGCTTGTGCATGTGAGAGAGTGCATGTAGATATGAATTATATATACATATTCAGATGTTGCCCTCCTGTAGGGAGGCTTTAATCACAGACAGCCAGAGCCTCTAGTGATGAATGATTGATATAAATAGGGCAGAAAAGCAGGGTTTAGCTGCAGCTTCAAAGGAAGCCCTCCCTTCATGCAGGCATCCGTCTATGCTCCAACCACCGCAGCCTTCTCAACACTCTCACAAACCTCTCCAATGCAGCAGCTGAGATCAAACTTAAAGATATTACCAATGCAAGAGTCTTCATCAAAGATACATATTCTCTGATATATATAAATATATATATAAAGATTCAGAGGACAACCATAACCGTGGCGCGAAGATTTCACCACAATAGGGACCAAGGGATCCAAACGCCCAATCATCCGTGGCTTCGTGCTCAACTTTAACGGATCCCTCGTGTACAGGCTAACCGCGCTTGGTCGGGAACCTGATAACATGCTAGCACAGGCTCTTAATTACATGCTAATCATCTCGCATTTGAACAGCGAGTAGCTGACGAGGTGTGAAATATGATACCTTACAGGAATACTACTTCTATCAGACCGGCTGTCACAGCCTGGGCGAGAGGGAGCGAGTGTGTAGATACGCTAGCTTTGTGCGGGAGAGCACCGATGCTATCGTCGTGTGTCACGGCATGCGTTTTCTTATTTCGACTCGGCTGCACCTGTCATTCAGGAGCTCAGCGTAGCGTTCGCTCTGAGGGAAAGAGAGCTTTGGGGTGTGGGCTTCGAGTCGCTCGCCTCAGCTTTGGGTTTTGTGACACAAATACGCATGCTGAAAGAGAGCAACTGGCAACGGGAGCAGTCAGTTCGCCTTAATCAAGTTTAACGCTCCATTTGGTTTTCAGAGAGGCAGGGTGCACAATTAGAAGACGCAAAAATCATTGTCATCTTCAGTCGCCATAGCCGTATACTTACTCTTGAAAGGCTGTTATTAAGATGGCTTTCTGTCTTTTCATACAACATTGTACTCGCGTGTGTATTTTAGGCGGAAGTGAAGTTGAAAGAGCCAGAGAGAGAAAAGAGTGAGAGAAAAGCATAGAAACTAGGAAATGAAAGGGGTAAAGAAGATGGTTCCGGATTCAATGTAAGTTAAGCTCTATAAACAATGTGTTTAATGCAAATAGAGCCCCACAGAAAATCATTTCAGTTTGTAACTCTTGTACTAATGAATCTAACTATGATTCCAGACTTAAGTCTGTCCACACTGACAACATTTTTAAGTGTAATATTTAGCTATGTGGAGCATAGACTTGTGCCGGTATTCAGTAATGCGACATATCAAGGTAATGAATATGCACGATATTGTTATCGTGGGCACTTCTAAATACCGTGAATAATTATATATTACAAATTATTTAGAATTTTGAATGCATTTTAAGAAAACTTTTCCCATCAACTGGTCAAAATGCACACCACCGCTGTATGCTGTGTGAAAGACGCGTGCGCACTCTGATCTAAATAAGCGCGGACGAGAAGCACATGGCGGAACATGTGAGAGACGCTCTGGATGAAAGCGCACTTTCACTCTTTGACAGCAGATGGCACTAAACTGCAGAAATAATAATAATAATAAAGCGTCTGCTAAATGACTAAATAAATAAATAAATAATAATAATAATAATTCATTTAAATGCAGCCATTACCCCGGAAACCCTGTAAACAAAGCAGCTGCACTACTTTCTGTTTCTGAAAGGTGTTTAAATGATTTAAACAGCCATTCAGATTTGTGTATTTGCTATGATGTTCATCACACATGAAAATTTGATACCGGCATACCCCTAGTGGAGCAGAATTTTGGACCAATGAGATTTCATGGGGACGGGGCTATTTGCAATATAGCGGTGCAATGTCTCTGAATTAGAAACCAAGCCATCGACAAAATATCAAATCTCGAGATTTACATGTTACTTCATCACTTTGTACAGCAGTGGTTCCCCCAATGCCCACAACAATATTTGAAGCTGCATGATTTTTTCCAGTTGTTCATGATTTACTGGATAAGTATCAAGGGTAAGGATTTAAAAAATATATATTTTACTCAAAAATTCCACCTGAAATTTATGTGACCTTTTCAGGTCTAGAAATCATACTTATAATTAGGCTACTTCATATATCCAGGTTTTTTTCTAGACAGAAGGAACCCTGAAAAAAAAGTATTGAGGGAGTGAATTAAAACAGGAAATATCTTGATTTATAGTTGTTTTTGCCCTTGGAAGTTTGCTGAGGCCTCTAGTGGGTCCTGGTCACCTGGTTGAGAAGCACTGGGTAAATCAGAATAATTTACACTAATGCTCATGTCATGTTGTTATTAAAACATAAATATGCTTACATACAAATTGGGAGTTATTTGAGATGTACAGTTGTTTTAAATGCCCTTATAGCAGTGGTTCTACTGTTGTAGTAAGCAGATAAACTCCAGGTTATACGACAATTCTTGTGGGAGGATTTTTCCCTATGTAAATAGTACCTTGCAGGGTTTACTGCCTTTACATGGTAATGAGAAAAGTTGAAAAATTGGATGCAACTCTGCACAGACAAGGTTAGTAAGCAATTTTATCAGAACAGACTTGTGAAATAGTGTGTATTTTAATGTCTATGCCTTGCCCTGTAGATTTCCATTTTAATTTTTTTTTTTTTTTTAACACTGAGGGATGATTCGAAATTCTTTTCTGTGGTATGACAGAGATAAACGGGTTTTGAACCCGGAAAATATTGTTTAGAACAAAAACGATAACCAAAACTAACATCTACTCCAAAAGCCGCCCGTCCCATATGCTAATGCATAGACTGCCAATTTGCAGCAAGCGTACAGGTGATGACACCATATGTGAGAGCTGCCAAGTCTTGGACCCTTGATGAGCCAAAAGTTTCTCAGCCATTCAAGACCCTGAACGCCCTGCGTCATGTACCAAGATGTGCCACTGATTGCCTCATCTGCTGCCTGCTATGGCAACACGAGGAGTAACTCGCTCCGTGTGGCGTTTCATAGCACCGTTTGTCATCAAGAAGAGTTGATGATGAAAGAGCGTCAAAAGATCAGCGGGAGAAATATAGAGAGAAAGGCAGGCTTTCGGCTAATTCACATCCAGTCACACGTGAAATGAGCTTGTGATCTAACCCCTCCACCTCAGGGCTGCCGAACAGTCTGAAGCCTGGGCCGCTTTACCCCACATGTCAGAGAAGAAACTAATAAATGGTCCTGCTGTTGCCAGTTCCGCCTTAGGCTGGTGAAGATCCAACCTAAGCCCGCTCTTTACTTCCTCCCAGATCCCTGAATAAACCCAGAAGAGCAGCTGGGTTCTTGTCATACAGGCAGGTAATGCCAAGAAACAGAGCAAGACAGAGAGGTGCTCTGGTTAATGACTACAGGGATGGTGGTCCAATCGTAATCTCTAAACATCAGTTTGCGGTGTTATGTTATATCCAGGTCCAGAATCAATTTGCCAAATGTGAGCTGTAATCAAATAACTAAAATATCTGTAGACGTGAATTGCTGTTCACAAAAAGAATTGACTGGATGGTGAAAATGTGTCAACTAATTATGAACGATATGGAGTTTAAATGGCTGCTGCCAAAATCTACAAATGTATATACATTTATATTCTTAGATTTTATATTATACATAAATATATTTAATATATAAACATAACATAACACACAAATGTATGTACTCAATTGTTTATTGGCTGATGCCTGATCAAAATGTCCAAATATTAATTTTCCTGGCTGATATATTCCCTAGTGTCATTTGAATTAAATTATATTTATTTCATGCTAAATATACTACAAATACATTAACATATTTATGTGCTTAATAAAAGTACCCTACAATTGTACTTCTGGCATACTAAACTGGTATACTTGAAGTCTGCAAACTTGGAACAACTAATTTTGTACTTAATGCATTTTAATTGTGCGGAAGTAGTGCTAAAGCCCAACTAAAGATATGCTGAAGTATATTTGATTGTGCTAAAGTGGAACTATTGAAAGTATACTCCAGGTACACTTTAAATATCTTGCATTTAAAGAACGATATTATTCAAAGATCATACAATCCTCATCAATAATGACATTAAAACACATTTTAGGCTTAATATTAAAAAATGTGCATTGTGCACAAGTCCAGTAAAGTTTAATAGTACTTTTTATATCAGTAAGTCTCAAGCGATATGTCAGCAAATATATGAATAGATTTGAACTATACTTACTATGAAATAAATGTATTTTACTATGGTTGTTTTGTTGCTAGTGAAAAATGAGCGTTTTTTCCCACTAGTTTTTCACTAGAAAAAGAAAAGTGGGAATTTGAAAAAACAGTGGCTAAACAGAATTGTTTAACATTATCTAATAGCCTGAATGACCTCAGTGACATCAGAGGAAATGGAACAGCGTTTTATAGGTTCACATTTTGGTTAAAAATAACAAAGACATTCTTTTCTTTAAAATAACACTAAGGAACTGTTCACAATTACATAAGGAATGTGAAATGATTTTATGTTGAAGGCAAAGAATGAGCGATGTGCTGTACTTTTTAATATTCTGTTGGCAGAGAATCCATAAGGACCTGGTTATAGCTATGAAAAACATCGCAACACAAGACTCATGTTAGATCAAGCTGCACTTATGTGGCATTAACAGGTCTGACAGAGTGGCTGCATGGGCTGCTGCTGAAAATGTCTGGCACCTCCCATTGGCCCTGATCCAGGATTCGGCAGATGGCGATGTCCACCACGTGCCATGCCCATCTCAGAGCAGCTCCCTGCAGAACACCTTCTGATGTGAGCTGGCATAGTGCTTCTTACATACAGCCGACATGAAAGTCTTAACCTTGGCCTTCTACCAGGTCCCTTTGCCCATGCATGTACACAGTGACCGATGAACGATTTAAGAGAGAAAGAGAGCGATGGCCAACTCTCTACACAGCCTGCTCTACCCAAAGCAGGCCTCCCGACAGCAACAGCAGCCGGATTGCAGGTGCTTCCTTCAGACTGTGCAGTTAACGCTCCCTAATCCACACAGGGGTGATGCAAATCAAATGTCGCCCAGTTCCAGGTGATTCAAAGACTCAAAATCAAAACCCCCCATACCCATCCCACACACAGTGACCCCATTCCTAAATGTGGGCCATGCAGTTTGCCCCAACAAACCTTGTAAAACTGCAAAAATGAATGTCCTTAATCAGTATTTTTCTCTTGTTTTCCAGTCTTTTCACCTAAACATCCTTAATGTAAAGCCATTTTGTGTAATATAAGAGTTTTTCAGAGAATATTGAGGGAACAGTATTTTTTTTCTTTTGTATTGTTTTTACCCATACAATTTTTTTTTAATTTCTTCACTCAATTTTGTTACAAGCACAATTAAAATAAATTTTATTATTTTATTTTTAAAATAAAAAATACATTTTCTGACTAAATTTAATAAAACATTAAAAATAAATAATTAAAAACACATTAAAATTCAAAAATCCTTCCTTGACATTTGTTATACATACAATAAAATTTAAAAAGTACATTAAAATTAAATTTTGTTGAAATGGACAAAAATACAGTAAAAATACAAAATGTATTCTTTGAAAACATTTTTTGGTATTTTTATCTAAAACTATATTATGCATTTTTGTTTGTCAAGTAGCATATTTATCTTGGTCTACTCATGTTTATAATATTTTACTGGAAAAAAAGACAATAATAATGATTAAGCCTTTTTTTAGTTAAAGAAACCATGAAGACTGAAGTAGAGGTTCATGACTTTCTTAATGACTTTCTTAATTGTGACCCTGGACCACAAAACCAGTCATAAAGGTCATTTTTTAAAACTGAGATTTATGCATCATCTAAAAGCTTTCAACTGATGTATGGTTTGTTAGGATAGGACAATATTTGGCCGAGATACAACTATTTGAAAATCTGGAATCCGAGGGTGCAAAAAAATCTAAATATTGAGAAAAACGCCTTTAAAGTTGTCCAAATGAAGTCCTTAGCAATGCATATTATTAATCAGAAATTAAGTTTTGATATATTTATTTACAAAATATCTTCATGGAACGTGATCTTTACTTAATATCCTAATGATTTTTGGCATAAAAGAAAAATCGATAATTTTGACCCATACAATGTATTGTTGGCTATAGCTACAAATATACCCGTGCTACTTATGACTGGTTTTGTGCTCCAGGGTCATAATTTATCATTCACACTTTCTTAGATGTCTGTATGCATTAGTGCAAAAAACAGATAACAAATCTGATTTCAAGAGGCTAATCTCACCTTTGCACTGGCCTAAATGCTCCACAGTGATCTTTTTATCTTGTCTGCATGCGATGGTCCTCAGCTGGCATCGGTCTGCATAGGTGACCCCATCAGAACCACATACCTGTCCACAAACATGTCCATGTCTATTATTAGAGAAGAAATCTTCATCACTAGAGTAGGTGTAGAGTGTGGATCTGTGACTTATGCAAGCTCACCTTGGTCTTGTTTTTCTCATCACAATCTGGCGACGGGCACTCACAGTGAGCCTGTCCGTTCACCTCCACACATGATGCCCCAAAGTGGCACACAAGCTCATCACAGGACTTGGGTGCCTCGGGTCCTGTGGAACAGATTGGCCTCTGGTTAATTCATAACTGATAATTGAACTTTTAAGGGTTTCTGAAAGCTAAAACACATGGACAAACATGTGGGAAACCAGCATCACAAAACACAATATATGCCGGTCATTTCAGTGTGGGCTACTTGTTAATCCACATATATTCATCAGAAAGATGGACTTGCATCAGTAGCAGAGCCTGGACCTTGCCTGCCACAGAAGTCTACTCTTTACTCTGACATCAGAGCGCTGGGCTGCACTGCCTGGCCTGCAGCATTGACTGGCTTCCTCTTCTGTACTTTCATGTGGCAGCTTTTATCTGGCAGAAACACTGCATGAACACTTCTATGCTGGGACTGTTGAGTTCATTAAGCTCTTCACTTCCTGTCAATAGCTGACGGTGACTTCATTCTACTCACCATGCCAACACAGGGGGTGACATCAGGATAGCATTTCACTGTCACCCCTGGTGTGCATTTGAAGATTCAACTTTGAACTCCACTGATACAATATTTAGTATAAAGTAGCTAATCATTTCGAGTTTAATTTATTTTTTTAATGGGCTTTCTACTTTTAATGTATATAATATTATACTGTAGTCTTAGCCTTTTAAGATAATTATCATAATTCATCATTAAAATGAAATCAATTATTCAAATAAAATAATTATTTTAGCATGATAAGATACTAAATAAAATATCTTATTAGATACTAATAGATATTTAAATAAGATTTAAAAAACGGTTATTTTCACATAATGAAAATGGTAAATGATCATAAATGAGAAATGGTCAATATTATATTTTATACAATTTTGTTTGAATTATATTATTATTATATTCTATAATACTTTAATGAGTAAATTAAAAAAAATATTAAAAACTAAAATAAACTGTTTAAATGCTACAAGTGATAATGTATAAAAATGGATATTTATTTTCAGGCTTGCAAAATATTACATTTAACAGTGTTATTAAATTATAGTGTTTTTAAGTATTAAAAACATAAAAAACTGGGCATATAATCATCCAAAACTGGCCACTCTACAGTATCAACAGAATATAAATAATATTATTAATAACTGGTAGATATATTGTTAATCGATAGCCCAGACCATCTCAAACATACTGCCAGATTCACACCCACATCTTTCTGAGATCTTATCACTATGCCATGGTTCTGACATGACACTAAAAGCCTTATTTGTCAGAACACTTTTAATTAACAAAGACTATTAATTAACCAGTGCCATCATTTTTATTATTTCTACACGTAACCCAACATTGCGAAAAACAGACCTAATTATAATTCCTAAAGTCACAACCTAGCTGCATCAGAACTGCAATCCTGGAGAGATCGTCTGAGTTTTGTGATAATTAAAATCCCAGCATTACCTTTGTCACAGCCGTTGGCTCCCATCTTGCTGCCATCGGGGCACATGTTGCATTTCATGCCCTTAACTCCAGGCTTACATGAGCACAGCCCTGACATCTGCTCACAGTCGTCACGAACCGAACCCACTCCATCACAGTTACACGCTGATGAAGAGAGGGAGAGAGAGAGGGCTGTCAGCCTTATCTGCTTGAACAGTTTTGATTAGATTCCTTGTCTCTTTCTCTTCAATTTCACTCTGACAAAAACATCCACACATCCACCAAATGCATGCAGGCAATCTGAAGCTGCTCCAATCTGTGACCCCACAGCTACAGCAATAGCGCTCGCTCTGTGTCAGTGACTACAGCCTGGTGGAGTTCAAAGCAGGGTCAAGAAGCCCTGGGGTGAGAGCGAACGTGGCTACAGAATGTGCTAATGCTCTAAGGACCCCTGGGACAGAGCACAAACTGTTTCAATCACGCTTATTTTTCTATCCTCGGCTTTGTAGCAGCATACAAACACACAAATACATGCGTCAGAGCTTTATTGGTCTGTAGGCAGAACTTATAGGTCAAGCCACGTTGCACTCTCGCGCAGTTCCCATTACCCGCGGTGGCTCGGAGACTTACCTCGAAACGCTTGTTTTGACAGAAATCGCATTTGAGGCCGGAAGGATAGCGCACGTTAAACGAGTAGGTTGTCACTTCGGATTTCGGATTAGAAAGGAACATTTAACACATTTAACAGAAAATGCCCCGAAAGCAAATCACCAGGAAAGAGAGAAGAGAGGAACGCTTACGTGTGCAGCCACTCATGTTCTCTGTAACGATGCCTCGGAAGTTCCAGAATCCGGGCTCACAGCGGTCGCACTTGAGTCCCCCGACGCCGGGTTTACAGGAGCACTGGCCAGTGGACGGGTCACAGGTGACTCCGTATGAGCCGTAATGATTACACTGACACACACCTAAAGAAGAAACGGACACAATCTATAAGTTAATAGCATGTCACTCCATGTCCCAACCAGGTGGGATGAGACAAGAAATCGTGAGCTACACAATTGCAATTAGTCGGAACATATTTTACGTTCAATACACAGTTAAGTGATATTTTGGACTGTTGTCAGGGTTGCAAACCGCAACAGCACATTGCCCATTTATCTATAATTGGCCATAATAAGAAAATAAGCATTTGGAATTGGCCAGAATTTTAAAACTGGTTCATCCCAACTTGAAAAAGTAAAGTTCATCCACTCACATTTTGAATAATTAAACATAATTACTTTTGAATATTTATTATTATGAATTGTTTTGCTTATAGTTCAAGATTTTTGGTATGGCATGGCATGCAGGAAAAAAAATAGTAGGCTAAATCGTGTGCACGATTTACTATTTCGTTCCCTCGATTTATAAATTGTGCGCATGATTTACTATTTCGTTCCCTCGATTTATAAATTGTGCGCACGATTTACTATTTCATTCCCTCGATTTATAAATTGTGCACACGATTTACTAATTCATTCCCTCGATTTGCTAAATCGTGCACATTTATTTTTTCTTGCATGTCATGTGCGGGGCTCCGTAGTGGAGATAAAAATTTGTATAACATTTCAGGATCAAGCAGAAACCTCTGCCTGGATCTAATGAATGAATGCCAAGTACACACTTATTTCATTCAGCAAATATTGTACAAATGTTATGTCATCTTATTAATATTAATGAGCCTACAACATCCCCTTTCCCCATGTCAGATCATTCCTACGTCCATGCTTTTATCATTTAATGTGATAAAAGACACATAAATTTTTTTTTAAGACAGTCTTTAAGACCTCTACAAACACTAAACATTTAATAATATAATGAAAATTGTGAAATATTAATTGTAATAACTATATTCTATTGTAATATTTCTGTGATGCAAAGCTGAATTTTCAGCAGTCACTACTCCAGTCTTCAGTGTCACATGATCCTTCAGAAATCATTCTAATAAGCTGATTTGCAGCTCAAGAAACATTTCTTACTATTATCAATGTTGAAAACAGTTGTTGCAGTTTTCTGGAATCGCCGATGTATTTTTTTTAGAATTCTTTGTTGAATAGAAAGTTCAAAAGAACAGCATTTATTTGAAATAGAAATCTTTAGTAACATTATAAAGGTCTTTACTGTCACTTTTAATCAATTTAATATGTCCTTGCTGAATAAAAAGATTAATTTCGTTAAAAAAATGTGTTTGGCCTAGCTTATGTCTGTTATTTAACATGACTGAATCAAACTGCCACTGAACTAGTTGATAGATAAGGGTTCATGGCAGTTATACGTACTAGGACACCCAGCCAGTCCAACACCCAGGGCAGCGGTCTTATTGTCTTGGCAGCATCCGTAAACAGTTTCGCTACAGTGCTGGGAGGCGACGAGCTCTGTAGGAGCTGATATGATAGCTAGAGAGAAGATACAGAGCAAACGGGTGGGTGGGGGAGAGAGAGAGAGACATATTGAGATCCACAGCATTCTTAAGACAAATTAAACTAAACAATCCAAGCTGAAATGCAATTTAGTACAACACAATAAGAATCGCTTAAGGAGCAGAGGTGGGAGAGCCTGCATCTGGCTGCCAGATAACAATTCTATTTACAATTCCTGACACCAATTCAAAATCAGGAAAAAATGATGCTATTACCAGCCGTGAAAACAAACAATAGACCTCTCGTCGAATGTCTGGTGGGTGACATTTGACACATTCTCAGGGGCCTGTTTTCTCCATTTGTTCTCGTCTCAGATAGCGCCGTTTATGCCTACGCCACAATGTCAAACAAAGATTTATGGACTCCGGGTTTATGGACGCAAATGCACAAGAGCGCAAATCAGGACGCGCTGATGTCAGTCCACTCTTGCTATAACCTAATTATACTTTTTTAGCGTTCCCCGCTCACATATGGAGGAAGTTTGTTGCGGTGTTTGACGATAATGTTGTGCTGGAGGCAGATGGCAGGTGCCTATTTGTCTTATCTGTGCTGTCATTTTTTTCCCAGTCTATCCACACTTGTTCTGTTTGAGCGCTTCTTCTCTAGGCCATTGAACTGAATGGCTGCGAGGCGGCAGGTTTGTGGTTTCGAGTTCGGAGCTAGAAGGACTAGGCTGTCGTAAATCAGGGGGCCGTCGGCGTGAGCGTACACGTCCTGGGGTATAATAGTGATGTGTCACTGTGCCTTTCACAGCATTTTGTGGCTCCAGAGATGGGTTTTGTCCACACCTCATTAAACTTCTCCTCTCTGCACTGAGTCCATTATGACAAAGGTGCTTTTAATTTGATCCTTTCTTCTCGTCTCACTGCGATTCTTCACCATCCTCTTTCTACACTCGTTTGTTCTACAACACAATCCTTTCTGACACCAACAAGGTGCTGCTGCAAGCGAGGCTGATCAGCTTAGATGTTTATTTCTGTCAGGACCACTATCGTCAAAGATGATTGACAATTAGCATACAGTTTGGATTGGCGGTATGGTTCCGTTCTGGGCAGAACTCCCTGCGCATCCATGCAGTCTAGCATGGATGAGAGCAGGGAGAGCAGCGATAACCGCCCCAGGGTAAACAGAACAGAACCAACATAAATGTATTGCAGATATCGTTAAAGTTCAATAATGTTATGTACACATTTTAGAATTAGTCTGTTTCAAAGGAGAATCAGAAGGCTGAATCCTGACTGACAGAGGAGGAGTTGGGGATGGAGGAGGGTAATTAGCTATTGAGCAATGCGAAACTGCTGATACTACTGCGGGACCTTATATATGAATACTTAGATCAGTGTCGTATTCCCATAGGTTGATGGGGATCAGCTGAGAGTCAGCTGATGCGAGCTTGACTAACGTGACCTGCCAGAACTAACGCTACGCTGATTTTTATTGAAGTATCATAGATTATTGGTGATGGTAATGGCATAGATGGGGTGAAGATCGCCTACCAAACTGTGGGAACATCACAATATCAATATTACAACAATTTTTTACAGAAAATGCAATGTTTGTTTCTCCGTACTAAGTTAAAATGACCACACCACATTATATTGAAATGAAGACTGAAGAGGAACATCTCAATATTAGGGCCGGATGATATATTGAATATATATCTTATGTTTTCATTCTTTTGATGCTGATTTAAACCATTTGTTTCAATAAATCATTGTCTCAGAATTTATGAGAGATTTAAAAATTCTGTAAATATTCAATTACTTAAACAACTCAATGGTTTGTTACAGTTAACTAAAACTATAACTATTAAAAAACATTTTTGTTAATTGGAAAAAAGCTACATGAAATCTAAATATTAGATGAAAAACGTCAAAAATATTTACACTTAAAACTTGTCTTGGCAACAAATGGAAATAAAATAAGTTTTAAAACTAAAACTCAAATAAAAATAGTAAGATAAAGATAAGAAAAATGACAAAAGCACATTAGAATTAATGAAAGTGAAAGATTTACTAAAAAAAAACTACAATTAAAAGTAAAACTAAAAATATAAAAAATAAAAGCTAATTCAAAATATTGCTAAATACTACTAGTACATAAATAATATGAAAATAACACTAGTTGTTTTGAGCCTTTAATCAAAACATTAAGCGTTATTCTGAAATTAAATAATATTATATATCAAATTACACACATACATTAAATATCTGTATCTAAATAAATATTACTAGATTTGACTTGTTTTTCATTTTTACATTAAAACATTTTCAAACTAATCAGGCACAAAGGTTCTGTTTGGTAGAAACTGTGGTTATACTGATTTGAAAAAAAATAAAGTACATAAATATTGAAATACATATTGAAAACAGCAAAAGTATAAATATTATAAATATCAATTGTGACCCTGGACCACAAAACCAGTCTTAAGTCGCTGGGGTATATTTGTAGCAATAACCAAAAATACACTGTATGGGTCAAAATTATTGATTTTTCTTTTATGCCAAAACTCATTAGGATATTAAGTAAAGATCATGTTCCATTAAGATATTTTGTAAATTTCCTACCGTAAATACATCAAATCGTAATTTTTGATTAGTAATATGCATTGCTAAGAACTTAATTTGGACAATTTAAAGGCGATTTTCTCAATATTTAGATTTTTTTGCAACCTCAGATTCCAGATTTTCAAATAGTTGTATCTCGGCCAAATATTGTCCTATCCTAACAAATTTTCCATACCATACATCAATGGAAAGCTTATTTATTCAGCTTTCAGATGATATATAAATCTCAATTTCGAAAAAATGACCCTTATGACTGGTTTTGTGGTCCAGGGTCACAATTTTAGTAGCTTTTTTGCCCAGCCCAGCTCAGTATCTCCTCTGTGCATCACAATCAGCCAACAAATTGCAAGAGGCAGCTTACAGCATCCTCTGATCTTCACTGCAAGGAGACTCGGGTTGTCTAGAGGTCACCGAGACCTAATTTCCAATTAGCAAAAAGCAGCAAGGTGCTCTGGAGGCCCGTCAGCTCTCAAAGGCACGGGTCAGAAACTGGGGGAGGAGAGACTGCAGCGTGCATATCAAATGCAGGGCCCGATGAGATTTCCATTGATCTGAGCTCAGCCAATGGGAAGCAGATGCCAAAAGCTCCTCACACCGGTTGAAAGTTCTCCAAAAGGATTTATTTTCCACGGCCACTGAAGGAGCATGACTGATCTGGCTAGAGGGCCTGTGAGGCTCTGAAGCAGAAAACTCAGAGTTCGAGAAAACCATAGATAAAGGATGAGGGGTGCAGCGAGCGACGGAGAGAGAGAGAGAGAGAGAGAGAGAAAAGAGCACGCATGTGCGCACGCAAGTGGAGTCAAGCTAGGCTTGAAGCCTGAGGGAATCTCACACTGCTCTGATCACAGAGCCAC